TTTAATTTTTGTTTTTTTTTTTCCCCAATAGGGTTTTTATTTTTTAAAAATTACACCCCCCCCCCCCCCCCAAAAAAAATAGTTATCTGCTGGAGTGTCATCCTCAGTATTTTACCTTTACTGAAGTTATCAGGTTCTATCAATCAGCTTCTGAGGCCTAAACAATTAGAAAATGATCTTCTGAGCCTTGCTCGCTTGCTCATTTGAATTTATAAGGCCTGAAATGAACATATGGAGAGGGTTTTGGTGAGTGGCTTGGGGTTGTTTCAGTTGGTGGCATGCTTTGTAAATTCAAGAAAGCTGCCTGTAAGCTAGTATTCCTGGTGGGCTACAGTTAAGGTGGTGATGCACATATGAGGTATGATAGTTGCTGTAGTGAAGAGGTTGCATAATACTTGATTTCCATACAGCGTACCTCACAGAAGCTCAGAAATGTTTATGTACAGAACAGCCCTAACTGGGAAAACAATTAGATCTTGGCGTAATTAGGCTCTAGGTTACATTGTTGCATAAGTCTGGGGTTTCTATAATGGATCTACAGCAACTACATGTTGGATTTTTATTTTAATTGAGCTGTTTTTAAGCTGTTCTTGTTAGTATTTATATTTTTTCTAGCGTAAAATAGTCTAATTAAATGTTTTATGAATAACAGTGGCTACTTGATTAGGTAATGCAGTACTTCCCAAACTGTGGGTCATTACCCCATATGGGGTTGCAACATCAGCAGATGAGATAAACGTGCCCCCTGAGATTTTCTGCACCCACACCAGGGTGCGAGGCTGCAGTCGGGCTAGACCAGCTCCAGGCAGGAACTGCCTTCGTGGCCCAGCAGGTGGGACCCACTGTGGGAGGGAGCTGGCGCATCACTGTGGCTGCCAAGGTGAGGTGAGAAAGTGGCACAGAGTTGTGCTCATGTCGCTGCCCGGTGAGCAGGGGCTGCCTCAGTTTGGCTGTCATGGCAGCATGGCATGGTGCTCCCTCCTCCCCTGTCTCCTGCACTGGGTCCTGCCCACTGAGCCACAGAGCCCCCGGGGGGAGGGCAGCAGGACAGGGAGCCCCAAGCCTGCAGCAGACAGCCTGCATCCTCTTCTGCTCCATGCCCCCCTCCCCCCCGCGCGGCCCCAGCTCTGCTCCAGCAATGCTGCCCACAGTGATGGGGGTGGGAGCCAGGCTCTGCACTCTGCTCTGGCCA